ACGGGAGACTCTACTTCGGGAACAAGAATCCACTAATCACGCGAGCTAACGGATAAATCAAAATCATTCTCCTACAAAACTATATTTAAATCTCGAATAATTCTCGTTATAATAATCCCTACGATAATAAAAGCTGATAAGGATGATCATATCGTTTTAATATTATTAACATTAAGAATGTACGATCACATATGATATATCTCCGTTGATTCTTCGATATTGCGTTTCAGAAATATTACATTAATGTAATTCATTATTTCCTTCTCCTTTTCTTTTTTTTTTTTCATCTTCTAGTAGTAGTAGTAGTAGTAGTAGTAGTAGAAGAAGAAGAAGAAGAAAAAGAAGATGACGATGATTAAGAAGAAACAAAAGAATAAGAATAAGTATAAGATGAAGAAAAAGATGAAGAAAAAGTTGCTGAAGAAGAGGAAGAAGGGTCTCCTTGCTTCGATCGTATCTGCGAAATAGAGACAAACGGTCGGATGGACGGATGAACGGACGGATGGATGGACGGATGGACGGACGGACGGATGGACGGACATGTATGCCGCATTCCGTGTTTATTATTTTGCCGATGGGTGGTCCCAAGAGAAGTCCCGAGAGCCATCCTGGTGGTCGATAGCATCTCTCGCGTCTCTCGTGTGCACGCACCGTTGAACGCAGCCCCGATACAAGCAAACGAACGAAAGAACGTAGGAACGAACGAATGAACGAATGAACGAACGTGCCGCATCGCGTCATTTTGCGTAAGGAAGTAGTCGACTTCGACTTCGATTTCATCTTCTTCTTCTTCTTCTTCTTCTTCTTCTTCTTCTTTTTCCTCTCTCTTTCTTTTTTCTTTTTTCTTCTTCTTTTCTTTTTTTTCTCTTTTTTTCTTTTTTGTTTTTCTTTCTCTTCTGCTCTACAGCTCAAGTCCTGGAAAGACGGACTCTCTAGCTCCATTACGCGTGCATCTGTGTCTGTATATGCACGCGCGCCCGTGCTTGTTTATATCTGTATCTGTATACGTGTTAGAATATAGGTATTTTCTTGTTAGACGTGGGCTGGATATTCAGTCGTGTGGGCAGTTTGCAAAAAGGAAACGCTGAACAACAACAACTCTGGTTATACTTATATTCTTCGTTGAGTTACCCCCGAGGCTTAAGCATGATCCAACTTTTCTCTACTCCCCAATCCTCATATCTCTTACTAGTATACCTCCTGTGTCAGACTCTACGTCGTGTCGCCAATTTGAAACGTCTTACGGTTTTAATATTTAGCTCCGAGCGAAAGAATGTATATACCTCTTGTCTTACTATAATACACGCATTAAAGAGCACGCAAAGAGTAGATAATTGTTCGAGCCCTAAGTACGATAATATTTTATAACCAACAACGAGTATATACATACGTAATATTTTCACCCATTACGATATGTATTCACTTATCTCACGTACATATATTCCTCTTATTTATATCAAACTAATCGTTCGACATTCCATCGATATGTGTGTGCGTGCGTGCGTGCGTGCATTCGTTCGTATGATGTTAAAAATTTAAATACGTTCATAAGTGCGATAAAATGGTGACGTGTAAAAAAAACAGGAAAAAGAGAAAGTATGTGCAAATAAATAAATCGTAATAAATAAATAAACATAATGATATGTATATACATATATATATATATATATATACATATATATATATATATTAGAAAGAAAATCTGCATGTGAAAGAACTTGTTGGATTAGGGATAAAAAAGAAAAAAGAAACGAAGAAGATAAAAGTTATAAAAAAATGTAATCACTTGGATATCAGTGCGCCTGAAAACAGGCAACTATCCAGGCTGCAGAGTTAGCGTAGAAAAAGAGTTACACGGGGGAAAAAGGGTGAGAGGGTGGGGAGATTTCTCCTACTGATCTTTCTCTTCCTCCTTACCTCAACTCACCCCCTACCGCGCTGCCATTACGCTCCCATGTGCCCCCGCAGTCCGCGCTGACTCACCCGCTATCTCCCTCTCGCACTCATTAAGTCGATACCGCGTCGGCAAAGATCAAAAGGCCGTCTTCTCTGGTGGACCGCTTAATACCGGGTGGCGAGTTAAGAGTGTCGTAAAAATTATTAACGGTCGCTCCACACGGTGCCTCGTCGGCGATCCGCCTGTGCCCGGTGCAAGAGAAGAAGAGCCGTCTTAGGGTGGATCAAAGGTAGACCACGCGGTATCAACGAATGTTTCCATCATCCTGTCCCTTTCTCTCTTTCATTCTTTTATCTTATACCGAGGAGACTGAAAAATTATCACGTAATATTGGATTTTATCGGTGGATTTATACCGGTATACCGGTAAGATCTCAATTATCCATACATGCAACTTTGTACGATTATTATTACTATTATTACTATTATTATTATTATTATTATTATTATTATTATTATTATTATTATTATTATTATTATTATTATTATTATTATTATTATTATTATTGTTATTATTATTATTATAATTACTGGCTATGTATCCTGCGTTTAATTAATTATCAATAAGATGTAAGAAACATGTCAACGACAATATCGATCGAAAAGAAAAGAAAAGAAAAAAAAACAGAAATAAGAGGGAAGAAAAGAAAAGTAAAAGAAAAAACAAAATCAAAAAAAAAAGAAAAAAAGAACAAAAAAAGAAAAATAAGAAAAAAAAATAGAAGAGAGATCGAAAGAAAATAGAATTATTTGTTGGAACGAAATTTCATAATTTGAAATTATACCGATTGATACATTTCTTTAATCGATCGATACCGGACACATTTATTCTCGCGTTATCGCATATTTTCGTAATCGGAATCCGTTTTGTATCCTTCATTTCATTCCCTTTACTCTCACCTCCGCCTTACCACAAACTCCCCGCGTCCATTGTCATTCTCTCTTTCTCTTACCTTCTTTCATCTATCATTCAAGCTTTCGCGATTCACTGCTTCGGCTTAAAACGAAAAATGCCGCGAGCGTGTATCGACGATACGCGCGCTCGGAGTGCAAAATTATCTGCTGTTTGCCGAACCCGGTGCTTGGCTCGTTGTCACCGTGGGTGGTCGCGTGTTCGTACTTACATACATACATACATACATATATACATATATACATATATACATGATTACATACATACATGAATACATACGTACATTACACAGGTACGTGCGTTAACTTCTTCCGATCTGCCAACTCCCTCTATCTCCCTCTATCTCCTTCTCCGTTTTCCTTTCTAACCTCTTTTCAAAGTGCATTGTTCTTTCTATTTTATTTTTAGCCTTGTTCTTTGTCCTTTTCTTTTTTTCCTCTCGAACCGAATAATAACAAAGAAAAAAAAAAAAAAAATAAAAAAGGAAAAAAGAAAAAAGAATTCGTCTCGTTCGAAAATATCGTTAAATCGATAAATAAACAATTCCGACAACCTTTAAGCGTATTCGCGAAAAATATAACGCGATTGATTGCTCAACAAAAAGTATTTGAGGTGTACCGCAAGAGCACGCGATCACTTTTAACCACAACAGAACGAACTTATGTAAGGAGTGGGATGAAAGGATTAGAAAGAAAGAGAGAAAGAGAGAGAGAGAGAGAAGGAGGGGGAAAGAGTAGGTGAAATTAATTAAGAGAAAATAGAGAAATGATGAGAAGGAAGAAAAAAAAAATGTCAATAAGAAATCTATGATCGAAAAGTTAAGCTTCGAAAATTTTTTTTCTATTATTAAATATTCATACCTGTTGTTACAACCAATCACGAAAACAAAAATGACATCGTGGCATTGCCTTTAGGAATCGTTTCATTTCCGGTAGATGATCTTGATTAAAATATTTCGACCAGGTTCTTGTTAAGGTCCGATGAATTAGTGGACTATCTCTCTCTTTCTCTCTCTCTCTCTCGCTCTCTCTCTCTATCTTTCTTTCCCTCTCTCTTGGATCCTGTTCCTAACCCTTTCTATCTCTATCTTCCTCATTCTAGGATACGTGAAACGCGGTGCGTATATAAAGCTTTCAGAACGATGTGGAAGAGAACGACGAAGAGGGTAGAAAGAACGAGAGGAGAATAGGAAAAGATGCGAGCAAGAAGGAAAGAGACGAAGTATGGGTGAGAAAGAGAGAGAGAGAGAGAGAGAGAGAGAGAGAGAGAGAGAGAGAGAGAGAGAGAGAGAGAGAGAGAGAGAGAGAGAGAGAGAGAGAGAGAGAGAGAGAGAGAGAGAGAGAGAGAGAGAGAGAGAGAGAGAGAGAGAGAGAGAGAGAGAGAGAGAGAGACGAGAAGAACGAAGCGATCCCCGCGCCCTCGTGCGTGTCGCGTAAGGAGGCGCGTCTCTGTGTGGGTAATGTTATTGCTCGAGGGAAAATGGTACCGCGTGTGTGGTCCAGCGTCGTGCTCCCCTCGGCTGATCGCACGGCGCATTCGGCGTATCCTAGCAACGGAGAACGCCACTCGTACCGACCAATCCCGTGCGACTCAGTACAACTTCGGCCATTTTCGGTTATACTCGGCTCTGATGTCATTCGGTCGGTCACTCGCGTATCGAGTCCCCGTGTATCAAGTCGCAAAAGTATTGTATATACATTACTTATTATATACGTATTTATATATATATATATACATATATACATATTATATTATTTAAAGCGAATTAATGCAACGCGTAAATAGGTTTTAACGAAAAGACATTTGTACTTTATTTACACGGTAATTTTTTTAAATGTAATATCAGATTCTTAGGAGAATGAGTTTTAATCGATTAGTTTCAATTACAAATGCGTAAAGTTAAGTAATCCCGGCATTATCCTTTACATTGACGATGTGAGTACAAAAATTTTTTTCAAAAATTGTTTACAATGTGTAAAATTTAAAGGGACTCGATGAAAGTTCCCATTAAGTACGGATTAGTATAGAGTGTATGTCGGGTACTCGATGGAACTACGTACGGTCCTGTGTATTCGCGCGGTCTGATCACGCTGTGGCGCTGGAGTGGGGAGGGCCCGTCAACTATGGCCGGCGCAGGCCAGGAAAGAAATGTGGCAGCGCGTTTCGTTTAGTACGGACTTAGACTGCTCTAAGCGGCGGTCGCGTACGCCGGTGTCCGATAATAAAGACGGCGACGAGGACGACGAAGATAATAAGATACGCGAGGAAGAATATTACGAAGTTGGCAGCGAGAAGACAGCAACGAAGAGCATCAAAAGAAAGAAAGAAAGAAGAAGAAGAGGAAGGATCGTTGGAGAGGGGGAAGAAGAAGAAGGAAGAAAAGGGAAAACGTGATAACTCGCTGGTAGATAGAGAGAGAGAGACACAGACAGAAAGAGAGAAAAAGAGAGAGAGAGAGAGAGAGAGAAAGACACAGTGTGTTCGTCGCTGGACCGTGGAACACTCTCGGTCTTCTTCTTCTTCTTCTTTCTTCGTCTGGCGTTGACGACACACGCGTGTGCCCCTGCTTCTCCTTTAAGACGATACTTACGCCTACGTGCGTGAACCGGATGTTCGTTGAATGAGAATAAAACATTTTTACGAATATTGTCGAGAATATACCATAAAGAATAAATGGAACTCGTTATATGGTAAGCTACGTGAAAAGCACGTGTTTTCTCCTCCCCTCCACCCCACTTCTCTCTCTCTCTCTCTCTTGCACATTCTCTTTCTCTCCCTCTCTCTCTCTTTCTATCTATCTCTCTCTCTCTCTCCTCGAGAAAAAGAGAGAGAGAGAGAGAGAGAGAAAGAAAGAAAGAAAGAAAGAGAGCGAGAACGAGAACGAGTGCGTCCGCGTGTGCGCGCGCGCGCGCGCGCACCCTACAAGTTTCGCGCGAAAACGAGCCGCGGATAGCTTCACGGTGGTCGCGCGATATTTCAAAACAGTCCTCGCGTGTGTGCCGCGCGGCTCGTGTCGGTGTGAATCGAGAAGAAGGAGTAATACGAGAGAGTGAGAGTGAGATAGTAAGAGACAGATAGAGGGTGATAGAGGGAGACAGAGTGAGAGAAAGAGGGAGGGAGAGAGAGAGAGAGAAAGAGTGGGAGGGAGAAAGAGAGAGAGTGGGAGAGTGAGAAAAGAAGAGGAAGAAGGAGAAGGGTTAGCGTAAAGAAGAAGAGGTAGTAGAGGGTTGGGGGGGGGTCTTGTGCACAAGTCGGTCGCAGTGGAAGGGAGGAAGAAAAGAGTGGTGCAGGTTCGTATTTACGCTCGAGCAGCGGTACGAGCAGCTAATCTATAAGCGGGAGCGCGCGCGCTCTTTCTCTTTCGTTCTTCTTCGCGTAAGACGACGACAACGACGACGACGACGACGTCTAGTTTACTACGCACGCTTGACGCGCGCCAACTTTGTTGTTTTCTTCCTCGTTAACTCGTGTTTTCCCCAAGTTACCTTATTTTTTTTTTGTTTTGTTTTTTCTTTTCTTTTTTTATTTATTTCTTCCTTCCTTTTTCCCCCTTTCATTCACTCATCCATTCACATTCATTCATTCAGCCAGTCAGTCAGTCAGTCAGTCAGTCAGTCAGTCAGTCAGTCAGTTAGTAAGGCAGTCAGTCAGTCATTCTTTCATTCATTCTTCGTTTTCTTTATTTCGCATTTTATCCTCGACGGGTTCCAGTTTGATTTCGTGTAAAAACGGTGCAATTACAGTTGTGTTTAGTTCAACAGAGTGCAAACTTTTTTTTATTAGTGCATAAGAGAATAATAATAATAATAATAATAGTTATTATTATTATTATCATTATTATTATTATTATTATTATTATTATTATTATTATAAAGAAGAAGAAGGAAGAAGAAGAAGAAATCGAAGAAGAAGAAAAATTGTAATATAGTTACGATACATACGAAAAAGTCAAGAGAAGAAAAAAAAAAGGAAAAAAGAAAAGTGAGAACAATTAATTCACGACGGTTTTGTGATATATATATATATATATATATATAAAATCGTTTGACCATTAAAAGAGGTTACCTTTTTCACGTGTTACCGCGAGAATATATTCTCTCGTGTTACGTCACGTGTACGTCATACGTTAAAGCAGACATTCCTGGCATATTTGGCGGGAATTTGAATTTATCAATCGGAACGGGAACAAGACTCGTCGATTTTTATCGACTTAATTAACGTCGTCCTGTGACGTTCGTGCGATTTTTTGATATCACCCAAAAGGAAGAGTTTCGTCGATATAATCGAACCCTAAAAAAGAGAGAAAGAGAGAGAGAGAGAGAGAAAAAGAGAGAGAGAGATCCTTGTCCTCTCTCTCTCCCATCCACCCACTCACCCACCCTTAATCCCTACCTCCCTCCCACCCCCGTGTAAAAGGACACGTGGAGACAGTGGAGGTGGAGGAGGACGGCGGGAGGAGGAG